TTCTAGTTTTTTTGTTTTTGTTTTATCAGGCAGGAGGCAGGTGGTTAAAGTAATCCAGAAGCTCTGACAGCCACAATTAAATATACAGTAGGTAACCCCCAAGTTTTTGGCTCTCACCCTTCTATACTCCTTGTATATTAATGGCTATCTATTACTAAATCTGTAAAATTAAGTTTGAAGATGATACTACCCCGGCAGGGCTACTAACAAAAAACGGCAAATCACTGTACAGGAAAGAGGTCACAGCTCTGCTTTGATGAGCTAGTGGAGTCAAACTAGCTCAATGTTAGTAAAACCAAAGACATCTTTAGGTTACTTGGCACAGCAATCTCTTCCACCTTGAAATGGGAGACCCACGTACACCAGAAAGTGAAGAAAGACCATTAGAGACTCTATATTCTTAGGCACCTCAGAACATTTGGTGTGTTTCAGGAAGCCATTTTTAAAGGGGAACAACTGAGAGCGTATTACCTTTTTCAGTGATGGCCTGATTTGGGGACCAGCCACTTAGGAGAGGAAATGGCTGGATAGAGTGGTCCGCACTGCTTCTTAAACAATGGGCTATGAATTACCATCTGTTGATTTTCTATACATGACTTGTTCAAATAACAAAATTCTGAAGATGATCAGTGACCACTCCCACCCATCTTTTCACCTGTTTTCTCCCTGGGAAGAAGGTGCAGGTGTGTCAAATCTAGAACAGAGTGGTCCCGGAAGAGCAGCTGCCCTGAGGCTCTTTGGCTTCTCAACTCACCCTGTTATAAACGTATTTCTTAAAGTATTTATTGTTAAGTTTGTTGATTCTTTCTTCACTGTGATATATAGTAGCATCATATTGTGTTTTGTATGATATGTGGATCTTATTTGATGTTTTTGCTTTTTCTTCTTGTATCTGGAGAACTCCACAAAAAATTCCTAAGAGCCCAAAGGGTTGGTTTTGCAATGAAGTTGACTTTGACTTTCAAAGTTGACTTTGAACTTCAAGTACTTATTCCATAGTTAAATACAGTTTATCTGTAAATACAGTTTATCTGTAATTTGCTTTGAGCAGATCTCTTCCCACTTGCACTGAATAAGCATTAAGCCACACTCACGTGACTACTTAAATATACCTTTGATTCTTCACCATTTTACTTCCCTTCCCTATCTTACCAATTAGTTTTAAATATATATGGTAATTATTGATGTCTACCCTGTAATTATGCTATATAGAAACAAAAAAACCCAACATAAATCTTAAAAGGATGTAATTTGCAGATTACTATATATACAGTGGTTGCTATGAGTGATTTTAGTGAAAGAAAATTCCACTGAATTATAAGAATTTACTTTTTTCATATAGTGTATGTGCATAATATCACACATCACAATTCACATGAGAGGAGAGAGAGAGAAATTGTGTTACTACATTCAATGATGCCTCCTTTTGAAATCACATAAAAGTCCTGAATTATTCTGCATCCTTGCTGTGTCTCTATTAAGTGAGGATGATTCCAGCTCCTGAATTGTCAAAAAAAACTTACAATGTGTAGATTTGAAAAACATTCAATGAAATTCATTTCTAGTTCTATCAGTCCAGAATTTTTTGGCACAGCTCTGACCCAATTTATAAAGGTCGTAGATGAAAGGAGGGCAATTCAGACCATCTTGCATCAATCCTAAGGTTATGCAAATATCTTCTGAAAATCTCTTTCTGAGTGTGGATATACAGTACTGACCCATCACTTATTTATTTGTCATAAAGTCTACATGCGAGGAGAAAAAGAGAAAGGTCACACATCTGTCAAATAGGTTTTTTAGAATGTAGACTTCCACCATAACTGACACAGTCTGCTCTTTGTAGAGTTTAGAAGGAGAAACATTAGCTAAAAAATGCAGGCCCTTTTTTCAGGAAATAACATTTCTGCCAGGCAACACTCTTCATAGAACAATACCATCCTACTGTTTAGACAAAAGAGAAGGGGCCAATTGGATTAATTTACTGACAGTGCTGTACCAGATATTTTATTTAACTATAATCTTGCACTGATCATACACAAATAAAAGCGGATTAACTTTTTTATTACGTAATTCATCTGTATTATTAAAACATACAATCACTGTCTTACAAAGCAGAAAAGACTGTTTAAATGAAATTCAATTGTTCCGTTTAATATTTTAACAAGCCGATCTAAAAAAGCTAAATGAAATCCTTCGGGACTGTCTCAGTAGTGGTTATAGGATTTTATGTGTTGCCATCTCTGACGCCTGCTGTGTGGCATCCAGGGGATGAAAATAACCATTTTATTGCATCTCATGCACTAAACCAAGAATAAAATTGATTAGAATAGTAAGTCAATTAATATGAAGTCTCAAAAAAAGATCGTATGAAAAACATTGACACTTTACTTTGTCATTTGTGCCAGAGAGCAGATTAAACCCTTAATATAGCTTTTGAAGCTTCACCAAGGTGATCTGTCCTAGTATGTACTACACAAAAGTAAAAAAAAAGAAAAATATATACTTTTTAAATATATATGTATATCTATATTTACGTTTGCAGGAGGAAATAACAGTACAATATGTCATACTGTATGATATACAGTATATCATATCCTTAGTGTGATGGCCATCTCAGTAAGATACATTTTTCCTGTTAGGGTATCACTCTTTGTTTTGAGCTGGGGAGGGGATACAAATACATTGCTTTTCTTATTTTAAAGAACGTTATGTCAGGAATTAAAATCTATAGCTTTTTCATCCCCCACCCCATTATCAGAAAGCCATTTATTCCTGGTAAGAGACATGGCAACAAGGAGCCTATCTGAAAGGCAAAAAGCCCCGGTTGAAAAAAAACAGCATAATTTGGGAATAAAACCCTTGACAAGTCTGTCACAGACCACACACATAGGGACAGCATAAAAACACCAGTCAACCTGCCCAGCATGTCTTTTGCTGGCAATACCCAGGGAACACCTGTGTGAAGAGAACAGAATACACACATTCCACACAAAAAGTACCCTATCACCTGTTCTGACTACACTGTGAAGTTTTTGATTCTCTTAAGAGCTTGTTCACTTCCTTTTTCAAAAATAAAAATAAAACATTTGATAAAACTTATGCTGACCTAAAAAAGAAACTGATGATTTCTCAGATGTTATTATTTTTCATAATTTACACCTGCTCATCTTGTCAGGCTTTGAGCTAAGCTCATTTTTCGAGCTTCAATGAACATGTGCCAGAAAGACTGAGTCCTCTGATCCTGTTGTTGCACAAACGTGTAATTGTAGGCTAAGATGACCTATATACAGTGTCTGTATATAGTAGCCCAAATCAGTTAAATATAAATCATAGATCCCTATTTATACCTAACCTTAAGCCTTAACATTAAGATATACTATACCTGCCTTTTTACATAGGCAGCTGTTCACCATAGTTAAAAATCTAATTAAATATAGAAGAACAAGAAGACATTCAATTCAAGTTGGAAAATAGGAAGACAGAAGTAAAATATATATATATATATGCTGTGAAACCTGCTTCAGTATGTGTACAGCCAGCAGAGGAACACACCTGAAGTAGGCTCATAGCCAAAATGTTTTTTTTTTTTACTTTCTTTTCAGTGTGGAATGTCAGAATGTTTTTTTTTTTTGTAGTTGGCTAACTGACAGAGCTCTCCACTCTGTATAAATGTACACTACAAACTATTCTAAAACCCACAGCTGGTTAAATTCACCTAAACCAAATAAAACTTCAGTAAAATAAAAACGAACTGAAAAATACAACTGCACTCTGTCTAAGTCTATGTCCTGCTTAAGGAATATGACAGTTTTTACCTTAGACATTATGACTGTTATAACCTACAGTATATAAAAAAGTTTTATGTTTTACTGTCGCTCCTGCTATGACTGTTCTGTATAAGACAGTTTGGTTAAAGTGGCAAATAATTGATGTGGTCCAGCAGTGCAATTCACATCAGTGTTTCATGACACATGAATCACTGCTGACACATTTGAAGAATTCAGCTTCTGGTTTCAAATTACTTCATTATTATTTTGTAGTACCTACATGGGGTTTCAGTCTCCTACATATTTCAGAATCACACATCCAAAGGATAAGATTAAACTGTTTTCACTTAGATATAGTGAGGCTATACTTTTTTAAAACGTTTTACCTTACCCAGCAATTTCTCTTGTGCATTTAAAGCTTTCTTGAAATCACTCTTTCCCTGGAACCATTATTATGTCTTTAGGACATTATTACCTTGAGAACTGGATATCATCACTCCATTTGATCAATGAGTTCATGACCCTTCCAATTACCATGGGCCATCTTCCAAATTCCCATCATGCTTTAGAGTGCAATAGGTTTTAGATAAATTACATTACATGTACTGAGCAGTGAAAAATACCAAGAATCAATTTACACATTTGAATCTTCCAAATTTTCATAGGCAGAACATGTATTTTTACATGTCTATAAACAATGTCAGTGAGTAATCAATAACTTCAAAAAAAGTTTGCGAGGCACAACAGTCACTGGTTTGAATATCCTACTTAGTAAAATGTTTTATGTTTTTTAAATATGATTTGGTTTATCAACTGCTTTGTTTCAAATCATGTTTAACCTTCATAACACACAATTAAGATAAAGACGTGATTCGGAATCATTTCCACATTTATATATCTATTTAAACCAAGGGTGTTTTCCATCAGCTATCATTTTTTTTATTTTAAAAAGTAAAAATGTAAGAATTGAAAAAAAAACAATTGCATGGTATGTTGTAAAATCTGATTATATAATTTTAAAGATACCAAAGATCGATCTTGATTTCACAAATAAATCTTATATGTTAGACAAGCATGAACTTAACAAGCAAGCCTTAACCTTATACCATACTAAACACATCTGCACTCAAAGCTGAAACTCTCAGTAAGGTTTACTTTACCATATATATACAGTACAGTATATATGTACATAAGTGAAGCATTTAAATTTCAAAGACCAACATACCTGTCAGTCACAGAGAGCATTCCTCTATCTTTATATTTTATTGATGGCCTTCATCTCATTAGGGAGATTTAGAGGAAAAGGCTTTGACTGAAGGAATGAAGAATTTTAGAAAATGTAGTTTTCAGAGGATCTTTTTATTTAACGTGGATGCTGTGAAGAGAAGGAAAAAAGAGGCAAGCATTTCTGTAAGTATAATTCTTTAGAAGGATATCATGTAAAACATGCTTGGCAAAAAGTGGTTTACACTGTGGTCTTCCCCACAAAAGCTCATTATTTACACATTGTTCCTATTTAACTTTGCTCAGCATTGCTTTGTTTTTTATTTCTGTACTTCAACTTCTTTACTACTGTGCTTGGGGATTTGGAAAATCTAAAAGATCCTGCCAGCTACTGTATAAGGATGGAATTTAATGAATGATTAGCTAAACCCAAATGCTCAAGCACTGTTTCTTTGGCAGCATTCTATGTCTTTTGTCACATTGCCTTCTTACTTATAAGTAAGGCCTACTTTTGTAACATCAAAACAGGACCACCTTAGTACTAATATAAAACTGATGTGCTGTAAACATGACAATTACATATTGTATATACTGCTTACTTGAACCCACTAAACTATATATTTATAGCTTTGTTCAAAACATTGTTTGTAGTACTTTTATTCTCAGATGTGCACTTGTTTCTACACTACAGTATGTGTTGGTTACAGGTTAGTTTGTACCTACACACATGAACCAATTCATGTGTTACTCTACCCAGGTATTATATTACCTATGCTACAGTGCAATGACTTACCATGCTCCTTCACTCCTGCAGCCTGGTAATCCTTTGTTAGAAAAACTACCTTTAGAAGATGCTACAATTCTTTATTTCCTGTCAGGTTCCCTCCTACTGAGGCTTGTTATTCAAATGCATATGGCAAGTCTTCAATATCCTGCCAACCTGAAAGACAGCAAACAGGCAGGTGTCACGCAGTGCACAAACATGTTAAGATATACTGTACTGTACTTCATATCTATATAGAAAGACAAACGTTATTAATCAATTAAATCCAATCAAGCATACAGATTCTTCTGTTTCGCAGAAGAAAACAAATGCCAAAATAAGAACAAGCAAGAAACACTACAACAAATCAATTAATGATTAACATCAGGTGATTATTTGTTTATAAAAACAGTTCAATTACAAACTTTGTCATATAAGACATATTTGACGCAAGATTTACTATCGACAATTTTTTTAAAGTGTTGTCAGAAGATATTCATCAGGGAATTTGTAGTCTGTTATCTGTATGTACTTGAGATGCAACACTTTCTGAATGCTGTTTTCATGTATTGGGGAGTATCCATACATGAGTATGTATATATCTTGCAAGGCATATCTTTCAAGGTTATGAGAAAGGCAAGCATCAAGTTTTGAGCAAGAATATCTAACTTATAGGGTTATGGAGTTTTTTTAAGGACATGCATTTGCTATTAATTAACAAGTCTGTTTCAACAGTTCTCCTTCCAGTTAGAGCTAACTGATATTAATTCCCATAACTGTATACAGTATGGTACAGCATGAACAACACAATAAAATGCTGAAAGAATTTGAAAGAAAACAAATTATAAACATCTATGAAATAGACTTAATCCTAAGTCTTATTATAAGCAAATTAAAGTCAAACTACATTTCCATCTTGCATTTCATAATTAAAATGGTCAACTACTTTAATGAGCCCACTCTGCTTCACATTTAATTATACCTTCTCAAATTTAAGCATGTATTCCAATTACCGCTCAGCAGTACTTTATTTTTGCCCTTAAAAGAGTAGTGCCTTCCTCTGTAAAGTTTCCACAATTTGTTTGTGAACTGATTGACCCCTTTTTCACATTTCAAAGTCAAACAGGGAAGAAGCGCATTTTTACTAAAAAGTGATCATTGTATAAGTGTGTATTTACTGTACATATTTATTAAGCTACATGTTTATAGGATTAACAATGAAATAAGCAAATACTAAGACCAGGACTAGAACAAGAATAAAACATAGGAATCCAAATGTATTTTTTGCAAAGCTACCCAAACATTCTTTAAGAATAAAAAATGATATGTGTGTAGCAGATCTAGTGGGTGGTCTTCCCAATATTGCTAAAGGTGCATATCTCCTGTACTTCCTTTGGAGCAGGAGTTTTTACTTAGAAAGACTGAAGGGTTATGTGCTCTATTTAGAGCAATATGACCCAAAGCTTTTACGTTTCATCCAAATGAAATTCCCTAATCAATTCCATTAGTAATGAGCACTGGCGGAGGTTTGATTCACAAAGAAAACAATCAATTAAACTGACTCAGAAGGTTAATCCTGCCTACTGTTGTTTTTTTATTTCTAAATTTAACACAGGATTAAAAACTGAGATTTTTTCAGCTTTATTCTATCTTGCTGTTGTATTTTGAAATAACTATGAGCAACCAACCAACTACCCATCTTTATATACAGTATACTGTATGGTTTTATCAGATGCTACTCACTGAAAACCATCACTATACTCAAGAAATGAGAGACTGAGCTGGAATGAAATACTCCCACTGATAACCAATCTGGCAGGTATCCAGTCAGCCCACACTGCTACATGAAAAGTGAAGTGCTTGTTCAAGTGGACATATTCTGCACTGGTTTACTAGTGGTTTAACACTGGTTTACACATTAAAACATGTTTAAAATAGTGTGCCACAAGGTGGAAAGTATTGTCTTGAAAGATTTCTTAGTCAGTGGTACCATATTGTACACCACAAATAAAATAAAATGTCACAATTGTTCATATACTGTACCTGTTTTATATCTCATTTGTAAAGTCTAAAATGTTTCTTTGAATGTTTGGCGATTAGAAAAGCCATATTTCTGTCCTTTGTTACTCAAAGATTCCTCTTAATTTAATAAAGCTCAGTGAAGACAGCTTTCAGACCAACTAAAAGAAGCTTAACGCTTTAAAATTATTATATAAACAGCATGTATTCTTTCATGCTTTGTGAAATTTAAATATTAAGTGAAAGTTATTTAGCAAAAGTAAGTTTGTGGGGAAAAGCAATCTTGAGCAAAATGTAATGGCAAGTAAGTACTTTTATATATTGTACTTCATTATAATACAAAGCATGTATGGATTGTACATTTATTAACTTAAATGCTGTCATCTGTAGGGCAGGAAAAGTACACGCTGTGGGCCTAGCAAGTAAGCTGTGATTCTTGTGGGAGTTCCACATTCCTTCTGGAATGAATCAAATTAATTAGAATTAAAGCCATTTTAAACATGTAAAAATTAAGGGGCCTTTTGGTAAAATGGTAAAAACATGTTTTGACCACTGTGCATTAAAATTTAAATAAGTACTTAAATTCTGCATGGAGTTTGTTCTCCCTGTGTTTACATGGGTTTCCTCTGGGTGTTCCAGTTTCCTCCTAATAGTCTAAAGACGTACTGGAAGGTTAACTGCCTTCTGGAAAAACTGGCCCTGGTGTGAGTGTGTGCAGTGGACTGTCACCCATGGAAACATTAATCCGCCTTGCACTTGTTGCTTGCTGGGATAGGCTCTGAATCCCCCACGAATTGGATAAGTGGTTAGAAAACGGCTGAATGGATTGAAGTACATACATTTTGTTTAAATATGAAATGGTAACTTCCTGTGTAATTAGGATTTACAATACAAAAGCAAAAAATAATAAGTTGAAATTATAACAGCATTGCAATAGGTTATTATTTCATATACTGTATATATACAGTATAATATTATTATAATTAAATAGATTAAGTGTTTTACTGTACTGTGCCTATGCTACATACTGTATATCTAGATCTTAAGCTGTTGACAAGTTAAAAGTTGTGAAAAACTCCTGGCAAGTGTCAATGAAACTATTAAAAATTATAGTTTGGCAATGACTCTCTCGGTCTGATGAAGAAGTCAGTGAATGTAAAGTGAAAGGCAATTAATATAAGACAAGCATGGCAAAAATGAATTCTTTATTCAAAAACACACCATTGTAAGAGAGAATTCTGTGGCAAAGATATATGAATGATGTGAAGGGTCTGTAAGAGACAGAAAACACATTTGGCAATATCAATGCTGAAAAGATTACAATTGACCTTCTTCACCTGACTTTCAAAATGTGAGCGAAACAGGAATTAATGTCAAGTCTCCATTATTATCCTTGATGTCTGTGGGGACATACAGGAAACTGTTGTTATCGCCACATTTTGTGTATGGACTACAGTATGTAGTTAAGAAAATTGTAAGTGCACAGTAGCACATTATAGTGAGAAATGCAGTGGTAAACCCTTATCGTGTTCTTTTCTGAATAATGAAAATACGGCAAAGGAGGTACTTTTATTTATACCAAGAGAGCTGCCAAGTGTCATGCATTGTGGGCTACTGTATCTCCCATTCCCACCATTAGTCTGTCAGTCTCATGCATTTACTGAACACAAGTTAAAATGGGAATTACATAATTGAGACACTGGAGTGAGAGAGATATTACATCAAATCTTTGAATATGAGCAGTTTTCTTAAAGCAGAAATTTGATAATGCAGTTCAATTGGGTTAACCGTGTGGGTTAGCTGGGTGTATCATTTGTGAACAGATATAGTTCCTCCCTGTTTAACTTGGTTGAAGATGCTCTGAGTGCTCTGGTACAGTGTGCTACTGAGAGATTTTCATAAGCAGAAAAAGGGACTGAAGCTGTCTGCCTCGTACACACTTGTCAAATGGCAGATACCCACGTCTCGATAATTTCAGCTCAACATTCCTGTAGACCTACTTACAAAACAACATTGCCTGTTATATAAATTGTACAAATTCTATCTCAAGAACTTTAAATTGAATACCATTTAATCCTGGGATAAAAGGAAGGCAACGATTAACAAAATAAAGTCTGAGTTTGATATGCATTATAGCTACCATTAACATATTAAATATTTCATTTAGCTGTCGATTTGCCATGTTTTTTTGTGCTGTCATTTATAATCATAACTTATAAGGCATTTATTTTGAGATTTTCATAAAGTACAGCTGAATGTCAAGGTGGAATTTCAAAATTCAAATACAAATAATTATTCAAACATTAATGGTATAAATTTTAATTGTTTTCCGAGCTGTGTCCTGTTGTGACATTATACGCATTGTTTATCAAATAAGAATGGAAGATTTAGAGAGGCCTATAACCCATTAACAGACTTTACTCACTGAAGTTCAGATCTCACTTACTGACCATAAAGTCTCATTCTGTTTATGAGTGTTTTTAAAGGAACAATACAGTACTTTACATTACATCTCACTATCCCCCACCCCAAAATGGAAAATAAATACTTTCATAGCCACTCCAATACATTGTGGACACATTCTGACTTAACACTTATCATCACAATGATCACTTCAGACAATCAATGAGCAGAGAATAAAAAAGCTCTATGTTTTTGCCCATTGACATGCCTATGCTGTTGCCACTAGCCGTAGAGAATGGCATCTTCCATACCTTGCCAGTGAAAGAAATTTACCATCATCAAGGTTTATTATGAGTCACTCACATAAGATGCAAATTAAGAAAGATGAGAGTCTTTATGGCACTGCCTCCCACTTTTTAAGCATCTACCATGCCAGTACTTTGTTTACGAATCAGGAAAAATTAGAAGGACACAGTCTCTTGTAGGATAAAACAGACAATGGGTTTTACAAATAACCCCCTTGTTAAAAATATAGAATAAAATTCTAATGCGAAGTGCAATCAAGTAACTGCTTTCATATCTGCTACACACTGATAGAAGTAATATATTTACCTCAGAAATGTTTCCAAATACATTGTGTATTAGTATGATTTTTTATTATTATTGTCATTTGTGTTTAAAACCAGAAAAGCAGAACAGCAGTACAAAACAATGCAATCACAGAAAATTGCTGTTCACATATCTGAATCAAAGAA